ATCACCCCGGGGAGCTCGGCGTTCCGGCCGGCATCGGCACCCCGGACGCACGCGTGGACCACTGGAAGAAGACCATGCTCGAGCGCGACGCCGCGCGCGAAGCCGCACGCCCGTCGCCCGTGCCGCTGGCAGACCGCGTGCCGGACCGCGAGGGCTGCCTCCCGTGGATCTTCTATGACAAGCCCATCAAAACCGGCTCCACCGCCGTCACGTACGCCATTCGCGAGTACGTCATGGCCAGGGGGCAGCGCCATCGCAGGTGCAGTAGGGACAGCTGCACGCCCAGGGCGGAGGCCGCATGTAATGGCACTGGCGATCCCGAGCATCTTATCGGCCACGTGAGGGTGAGAGACGGGTTAGTGGAGTGTCTGAAGGGCAAGGAGTTTTATGCTGCCACGAGTATTAGAGATCCGCTGGAGAGATGGAGGAGCGCGTTTAAGTTTAACAGGATGATGAAGGGGCACCACAACGGAATTATGTACACGGAGACGTTTGATACGTTCATGAAGCTGTACCCGGATTGCCAGATGTATCAGTACTACGACCAAATGTCGTCCGAATGTGACAACGCGCCTGTGCCCTGGAGGGAAAGGCTGGAAAGAATCAAAGACCGGTACGACGAGGTGATTGATCTGTACGACGACAACGAGGAGCTGGAGGGCGTGCTATTTAAGAAGATCAAGGGCTACATGGAGAAGGAAAACGTGTCTAAGCAGTCCAAGGAGGTCATCACCGACAAGTTTGACAGGTCGAGACTCGAGCCGGAGCAGGCGCTTTACGACGCCCTCAAGGCCAAGCGGAAGGAGAAGCCGGATCTGACCAGATTCCCGTGTTAGGGACTGCCGATGGGGGCGTGAGGGTTGCGAAGATTGATGACAAACATTTTTAGCATGCTCGCCTACTATTGGGCGAGCGTCGCATTTGTTTTTGTATGCACATTTCTCTGAGAAGAATACGGTAAAGCTGTTGCGTGGAAACGATCGCACAATGTAGTTGCACTGTCAGAGCTTTGTTGGCCGGTCTGCTGTGGGAGGCGGCTGCCGTGAGGGACGGAACGTGGAATTCTTATAGGATGTAAGTCGCGAGAGCTGCTAAAAAGAATAGTTGCTATGCACGGGTGACGAAGCGCTCGCGGAAAACGGGTGTGGAAGCGCAACAAAGTGCCGGCAGGTACCGTAACTATTAGCATTACAACTGTATAGAAAGCAGCATCCAACAAGATGTGGAGTAAACTTTAGTTAGTTTTCAAACAGACAAAGGTCTCCCCACGTACATACTGTACATGTAGTGCTCAATACTGTACAGTAGTTTCGTCCGACACTGCCCCTCCATCGTCACACCCATTAGGCCCTGCCGCTGCTGTGGCGGCAGGGGCCGCCAGCGCCGGGACCTCGGCCGACCGCCGAGGGGTAAGCACAGTAGAAAACGACTCTGGACTATGCTATATTCCGACAACCCGGACGGCGCGAGGTCCCAGAGCGGGCGTCGCCGCCGACATAAATAATGCACCGGAGGGCCAACTGTAGTTCGGTATCCTTAGTATCCTTCCCTTCTCATACCTCAACCATCGCCCACATCGACAATAACGTGACAAGTGACGTGTAATGGCTGGAGGGTAATGCTAATGCTATTGCCACAGCGACAGCTGACGTGGAATGGCTAGAGAGTAATGCTAATGCTAGTACATTGTCTCTGAAGAGATCAAAATGCCGAGCGAGGAAGGGATTATCCTGTTTTCTGAATAGGATTTTAATTCGAAATGTAGTTCTATAAAAGCCCAGGTGTCCAGGAGGGAGATTGATGGAACAGCATCGTTCCTGGGGTTTTGTTTTGGTTAGATCGTGAGTGTCTACAGTTATAACTGTAGACTGTGGCACTGTGCAGCCACACCTGGTGGTGGGTAGGGCGAAAGAGGAAAGGGTTAGCTTTGTGGAAAAAGGTGATGCTTCGATGGCGGAAAACCACCTTCGAGGTTTACTGGCGGGTCTACTTAAATCCTTCTTAGCAGAAGAAAGGGAGTCTGAATACTGTACTGTGCGAACCTTCCGAAAGGAAGGACGCTGTGCTGAATTACCAGAACAAGTAGAGCAGATGGCGCCACGGCAACATTATGTCACACTGGCTTAGCCTGCGTGGAAGACAATTTGGCCGAAACTATAAACAGGTTCAACAGCCGTTGGCGTGGTTACAGGCACGCTGTCACTACTCAACCTACGCATCTGATTAAAAGTTCTGTTTATGGGGCACTGAATACCTACAAGTCTACAGTTACATTCGTAATAGGCCTTATATGGGCTTATTGAACCCAAAAGGGTAGTAGCTGATTTCGCCCCAATACAGTATAAAGGCCGAACCCACCACTGTTAGGTTGGGTTGGGACCCAACCACTGTTGCGAAGGCAGAAAACGACGCACATTAAACACTATCACCGCACTTGGCCAAAATGCAACTGGTCAAGCTGGTCACCAGAATTCCGAGGCGTCTCCTTGGGCCCGCCTCTCGAGCTTCACCTTCGCTCTGAGCCACACCAAGTGGCCGAGAACCTTATTCTTCCCTGAGTCGTCCTCCGCCGATCCGTTCACGGCCCGATTAGGAAATCCGAACCCGACTCCCTGTCTTTGTGGACTGCGTGCCTGTGGCTGGCGACAAGACACTCACGATCTGACCAGCTGTAACTGTTTCGCGGTATCACTCTCTCTATTTCAAGACGCGCCTCAGTGTATACAGCCCAGGAGATCACTTTGAGAACTTGCAGGACTTGGTGTGAGCATGACAGACGCTATCAGCTGAAATGGATCATCTAGGGGTTCATGTGCCCCACAGTACGCTAGTCCATTAGTTTTTGAGCTGTGAAAGTACCCCTTACTCTCAAGCATTAACCCGAAAGACATCATTTCGTTCATGGAAGCACGCCAAGCATACTAACGAGAGGTAGAATAAATAAAAAGCAAAATCCTATTATGGGGGCTGATCGCTTTAAGGTCTGTGTCAAGCCCTCAGTCTTGAGAGCTATACATTTCATGGGAACATTTGAAGAATCTGTAAAGGACGTAGTGCTGAAGGATTGAATGTTGTGCGTCTTGGGGCAAGACGCCGAAGGCGGCGTCTCGAGTGTGTGTGACGGTAGAGATGCGCACGAGCGCGAGGACAGTGCGCACGAGCGCAGGGACAGTGCGCACGAGCGCGAGGACAGTGCGCACGAGCGCAGAGACAGTGCGCACGAGCGCGAGGACAGTGCGCACGAGCGCAGGGACAGTGCGCACGAGCGCGAGGGCAGCGCACACGAGCGCGGGGACAGTGCGCGAAGGCACTTAGCAAAGTCTTGCTAATGACGGGGTGAATGCTCACCAAAGCGTGAAGTTTACTTCGTTCTGTGTTCGGTCCCTCTCTCCCTCTTCTGCTTTGCAGACAACCCTCTACGATATGTATCCTATCCTATTTCGAGCAGTTGATGGTTTCCTAGGAACATACAGTGTCGGTTCGAACAGTGTCAGTAGGCAGAACAGTGTCGGTAGGGAGAGCCGTTGCAGTAGTGCAAGAAGTGTCGGCAGGGCGCACAGTGCTGAAGCACCTGCACACGTAAAGATCACTGAAGGTACAGTACGAGCACGAGTAGACCACTCCCCCTCAACGAAGTTTTGTGGGACAAAGAGGCCTTGTATGGAAACCTTGTACAGTGCATCTAATGTTGACGAATGACACGATTGTATCAACATTGAACTTCAGGACACACCCGTAAGTCTATTCAAATAATCATCAATGAATCTTTTTTTGTAATTTACCAAGGGCACGGGTTATTGAGGCTGCGGTTCAGTGCACTGAAGGAAAGATTCAATAACCCTTGTCTTCTATGTACGTAGACATTTTTGGGCATGCCAAAAATGCCTACGTACGTAGACGAACTAAAGGTGAGAGTACGACCACTGGTACTTGAGTACATCGAAATAATGAGAAAATCCATGGATCAATCATCCAAAATTGACTGTCCTCTACATCACAGAGGCATTTTACCGGTCTTATTTCAAAAAACGGGTTGACGAGGACCTGGATGTTTGCCCAAAGCGTAAGAATGATGTCTACGGCTTTATCAAATTCGTCGAAGAGCAAGACGAACACGATGACAAAGTACAATCTTAGATCTCACCGGTAAATAATGGAAACTCTAAGACGAAGGAGTCAAACGGTATAAGTACAAGTTGTTCTACCGCAAGTGCAGGCTTCCACAACATCAATGCCAAAGATTGGCACAAAGGAGCTATAACCACAAGACCACCACCTTTTTATATTCGAAATGCAGGAATAACAATAGGTACCTTCCCCAAAAGGGAAATCTCGGACAGATAACATAGAGTTAACAAATAAATAAAGAAGAACTTTCTTTCGCGTCCCCAAGACACAGCCATAAGCTTGAACGTAGAATTTACTCTCAGAATGTCTCAAACAAATGACGCATTGGCAACTGCACGCCAACGGGCTTACATTTCGCTTCAGATGATCGTGTGTCGGTTGATTGACAAAAGGGGCTAATTTCGGACAGAATCTGAAGTGGAAGAGGCAGTACTCAACGAACGCAAAACAATTGAAGCCGCGACCTCAAGGGCAGCAAAAGCAGGACGACGCTTCCGAGCACCGCTCCGATCACGCTTTTGCACGCCCTGTCTACTCCCCCACCTTCTAAGGGAATACAAATCTGCCGTTTATCGAGCAAGTGTCTTGACCCGGGCTCTTTCCCTTGCGCATTCTTTTTCGCTAGCGTTTCTCGTGCTTCGGCTGCGGCTCGATCACCCGCTTAAAGGCGCTTACGCTCCTGCTGCTGCCCCTTTTTGAGCTTTCTCCTTAGCTCACTGGCCCCTTTTTGGCGTCGCTTCTCTGTGCTCTCTGCCATACTCACGCATTCGGCAGGAGCTCCGCAATCGAGAGTAACTCTCGTCCTTCCCAAGTTAGCAGGCTGGGTAACAGCGTTCCTGCTTCGGGGCACAGTACTGTCGACAAGAATATTGTTGACCGTGTTCGCGTCTCGAAGGAGTAAAGTCAGTTTTTGTAATGTGTGCGAAGGTCCTTCTGTGTCCTCTCAAATTGACCTCACTTCGATAAATGTTGCAGTATCGCTTTTTCTTTGTCGAACGGCCAGAAGTCTCGATGCCACTCCGCCATTTTCGAGACAAGCTTTCTCCTTCCCCGCCTCTCCACCAGTCACGAAATCTGTTTTAGCAAACCGCAAAGGGAATAATGGATCAAAGGGATATATTCCGGTATTTTTGAACGACAGCCTGGCGTCTTCTAAGAGTTGAGATGTGCCCAGCATGCTTAGGATTACGCAGGTGAAATGCACTAGGACTCTGGATGGAGCAAGAGAATGCTTCAGGACAGAACACTTGAATCACGGATAGTTTCGCACTGTAGAAAATCGCCCGATTGGGTAACAATATGTCTAGCGACCATTATGAAGTATCCAGGCCAGTCCCTGCCATTGCAACTGACCTGGACGTACTGTGTCGTCAGTTCGCAGGTTTATGACGACGGGATCAGTAGGATAGTATATATGTACTTCTATGCCCTACTCAAAGTAAAGGAGTCACCACACTACCTGAAGGTCCAACACCTCTGTTCCTCCTAAGGCCGTTGTTCTCCGTCCTAACAAGTCGTGCTGCGCCAAGTCTAAGGTAATGCTTTCGAAACTGTGAACTCCGCAGGCCAAGTTCACAGTGACTTGTCTCTTGTCTATTAAATACGGCTTGCAAAGCTCATCTCGAAAATGTCGGATTGGCGATTTAAACCGCTTGTTTACGTTTTGGTCGCACGGCTGTAGAAAATGGGACGTGTTAGCCGCCCCAAC